ATATATAATAGAATTTTATTTTATGGCGTCATTTTATCACGGACCTTTAGCCTATTCTATTTCTATATACAGGGTGTCTGGTTATAATTTAACACCCTACTTGCAGCCTTTACCTTTAGAGGTAGATGATAGTGTGTGTGTGTGTAGGTGTGTGTGTGTGTGTGTGTGTGTGTGTGGGTGTGTGTGTGTGTGTGTGTGTGTGTGAACAAAAAAGTTGTGCAGTTTTAACTAAATTCTCGGAATCCATCGTCAAAAACAAAATTTTATTGTAAGAAATTTGAAATTTTGCGTACTTTCAACTTTTTTAAATGTAATGCTCTATATTTGCTTCTAATATATAGTTTGTCTATATTTGTTTGAGCCGCCTTTAACATATTTGGCTCTAAAAATTGGAAAAATACTATCCTACTGACGACTTTGTGAACCATTCTGATGAAAGCTTCAGGTAAAATTTGAGGCACTTGGTTTCTCTGATAGTATTTTTAAAATTTTTGAAGCCAAATATGGTGGAGACGGCTCAACTAAATAGGTATAGAGAAACTATATATTTTTGGAATCGGAAAATTGTGCTCTTCAAGAATATAGAATTAAATATAGGGCATTATTCTATTTGAAAAAAGTTGAAAGTACGCAAAATTGATGATAATAAATAAATAAACTGACAATAATTTAGCTATAACTGCTCCACTTTTGTGTTTATACCCATCATCTTTCTATAAAGGTGGGGTGTCAAATTATAACCAGACACCCTGTACCTTCCAATATTTTGTATGGCCCATGGTCCCCACCTTAGTTTGGGTCTGGATCCGCGCCCGAGGTATAGGGCGACCTACAACTGAAAAAGGTCTCAGAAAAAAGATTTCCAGTGAAAGCTACCTTGAGAAATTTCTGGAAATTATTTAATCTCCTAGAACAACCGCTACAGAGCTTAACAGCAATGATTAGTCAAAAAATTAAAAACAATTTGACCAAAGTTAATTAAAAAAATCGTTAATTAAAATAAACATAATTACGCTAAATTTCGAGAGTCAACTTAAAAGCAACGCAAGCAGTAATTCGATCTACGTAACCAAATCGCGCCTATGCCAAACAAAAATAAGCACGAGTGACCCACATAACAATATAAATATTAATAATTATTGTTACGTTACCCAAATATTTTCAGCATTATGGTGAATGAAAACCGATCAATCAAATATAGAATTAATACCTACTTGAAGAGTAAACAAAACTAATTCTTGAGGTCCAAATCGATGGCCAAGCAAATCTTGGAAGCCGAAAGTATCCACATTGCAGACGAAAAAAGAAACATCAGACGAAAAAACACAATATGATTTGTTGGAATCATGGCAAATATTACCAGTCAAGACGCAATGACAGCAGAGAAAGATGCATTTCTTATCCCAGTTCATCTATACCCACCAACCTTCGACCCTTGCAGTGGCATTACTACCGCTGAATTTCTGAGGAGTTACGGCCTTTAGTTACGACCAGAGAATAGCAAAAGGAAAGGGATGGAATGATACATTGAGAATGTATAGTTACAGGGTGGAATTTTTAAATGGAATAAAATTAGTATCAGAAAGCCTGTTTATTTTCTGGAAAAATACGGGTCCCTTTATTTTTAGTTTGGCACAATTTTTCGGCCTTTCCATGGAATTTACCCCCCTCTTAAGGGTAGAAACCACTCCCAACTTTTTTTTTTTTAAATGTAAAGATATACAGGGTGTCCCACGGTGGATGGCGTATTAGACGTTTATGGAGAACTAAAAAGCGGATCATTTTGAAAATTTGGCAACCGGGATAAACGACCATAATCTACACTTTAAAAATATTTTTGTTTATGCGGTGTTGCCGCTTCTTCCCTAAACCAGTGGCAACAGCGCTATTTTAAATGGAACACCCTGTATCTGATTACATATTTGGATTTTACGTAAAATTCTGAGCAGATTTTATGTGATATACCCTATACCTAAGTTCAACTGTTTTGGAATTATTGACAGTTGAAAATCGACTTTTTGCAACTTTGACAGGCTGTAAAACCTGAACGGTTAATTTTAGAGAAAAACCGATTTTACATTCCTATCTTAGATTTTTATAAACTATCATTTGATACCAACTTCAAATTTAATCCATGATTAAAAATTCCAATTAAATTTAATCTCCGGGTAAATTCAAAGTTGGTGTCAAATGATAGTTCATGAAAATGTAAGACAGGAATGTGAAATTGATTTTTCTCTTAAATTAACCGTTCAGGTTTTACAGCCTGTCAAAGTTGCAAAAAGTCAATTTTCAACTGTCAATAATTCCAAAACAGTTGAACTTAGGTATAGGGTATATCACATGAAATCTGCTCAGAATTTTACGTAGAATCAAAATATGTAATCACATACAAAGTATTCCATTCAAAATAGCGTTGTTGCCACTGGTTTAGAGTAGAAGCGGCAACACCGCATAAACAAAAATATTTTTAAAGTGTAGATCATGGCTGTTTACCCCGGTTGCCAAATTTTCAAAATGATCCGCTTTTTAGTTCTCCATAAACGTCTAATACGCCATCCACCGTGGGACACCCTGTATATTGTGATGGCATGAGCAATTTTAAAATAAATGTCACTTCATCATTTTCACTTTTTCCCCTTTAGAAGATGCTACTAATTTTAAAATTCGACGTTTCGTCTTCAGGCAGCCATCATCAACTTACTTTTTTTAAATACGGACCTGGATTTTTTATTTGCGATTTTGTCATCTTTGGGGATCCTAAAACCAGGGTCGGCGCAACCATTAGGCAAACTAGGCGACCGCCTAGGGCGGCAAACTTAAAGGGGCGGCAAAAAAGCAACAAAAAAAAAATCTTTTGAATTCTGCTTTTCTTCATAATATTCAGGATTCCATTTCTCTTGCAAACCCAAACACAAACTTTGCCCTTTCCCCTACTTATGAGCACATACTGCTATACCTGTTTTTGTTAGTCACTAGGGGTCGCGCGACCTGGTGGCGGGCGGCCAAAAACAACACAAAATTAACGTTTTGGGCGTGGCACCAGAACAGGATTTTTTTCGCCTCCGCCGGCACATGCAGCGGGCATGTGTGTATATATTTTTTTTATGTGGATATTCTATAATCTATATTCTGTAAGTCAGGTATACCTACAGGGTGAGTCCGAAATAAGTGCGCGTTTTATTATGCTAGATAGAGTAGGACGATCACTTTTTGCATAGGTACATGTGTCCGCAAACGTCTCGTTGAGAAAATACGGAGTGTTGAAATTTTCGGAAAATTTTGACTTTTTGTCTTTAGATCCAAAATGTTTTGAGCGATTTAGTTCAAGTTTTCAGAGAGTGTTTGCAATGTTCTCAAGCATCTTTCTAAAAAATCCGTTCCAGTTCCACTTTTCCAGGACCGGATCTAAACGACTCTTATTTTTTTTAAAGAAAAAAGGGGTACGCATCTGTGCTTTTTGAAAAATTAAAAATTATTTTTTGATTCCTTGTTTAATTTTAAACAAAAAAGGTATCCCGAGTTTTTCTTGTTCGATGCGACATTTACGAGATAAAAAATTAAAATCAATGTATTGTGTGGAAAATCTACCCCACTCTGTGTGAAGTTAAATAAGTTTATGTCATATTATATCTCTGAAAATTTGAACAAAATCGCTGAAGGAATTTTGAATCTTAAGGCAAAAAGTCAAAATTTTCCGAAAATGTCAACACTATGTATTTTCTTAACGAGAGGTTTGCGAACACATGTTCCCATACAAAAAGTGATTGTCCTACTATACTCTATCTATCATAACAAAATGCGCACTTATTTCGGACTCATCCTGTATATTATGTACAATCATTGATAAAAGTATAAAACATGTTTTCAAAAAAAGCCATGCATGCAAAATTTCAAAATGTATGTTGAGAGCACCAAAAGATTCCCAGTCGGATAATCTATGATCTGGTACACAGGCGTATATCCATTCCTTCGGGGCTAATAATTAAGTCACATTTTCAATGGGCGTAAGCGTCAACAATTTAAAATCGAAATCTAACAAAGAGGCGTAAATCCATAACATGGACTTACGCCTATCCACTGAATCTTTTGTAAGCAGTATTGTGTGATACGCCCCAATGTTAAAAATGAACGGATTCTTGCATCAGTGAATGGAAAACGGTTGAAAAACATTGTTTTTACGACTATGAGAGAATTTTTCCATTTCGACGTATTGTCAAAAATTACAAATGACATGTGTTCCATAGAATAAGGTTTATAGTGGGGATAGAATGGACAGTCCCGTTATACGAGTTGGACCACCATTTGTGGCGCCATCTGTTGTCTATGAAATGAGCTCATCCCATTGCAGCAGCTTGTAGAGCAGTTTGCTTCTTATTTTTTTTTTTAGATTTGCTTTTTATTTATTTTATAATAAAAACACAATTTGATACAAATTTAACAAATAACCGTTTATTACAAAGAAAGAAGAAAATTATGTTAGCTTTTCGAAATTTGTCAACAAAGTCAACAACAACACAGAATTAAATAACAATAATAGTCTTTACACTAAACATAACACTGTGAAAGTCCACAAATACACACAGATAACGCTCTGTTAACAATACGAAACACTTTTTTAACAAACACGAGTATTAAAACAACAAGAAGCACAACGTTTTCCAGTTCATCGTTTTGTCAATTCATTAATTTTTGTCGGTTCATGTCATAATTTAATTAGTAATCACGCCACCCTTCTTCTGAAGCGGAGATACCTTGGAGATACAATCAACAACGCGTACGCACATCAATTGACAGCGCCTCTACCGGGCATGAAACAAGTTTATCATCGAACCAAGTGGTACATTTGAAGATCGCGGGGTATGATGTGTTCATGTCATAATGTGAATGAAAAAAATTTATACATAATATCAATTATTATAAAATAAGATAAAATACTGTCTACTGAACTCGAGACTGTAGAGACAAACAGTGGTATTGGTAGTGGTGTTAGTTATAAAATGTACGGGCGTCAAGAAGAAAAATATTACTTTGGGATACAAACAGAAAACGAAATAGAAAGTGATGAAGATGACAATTTGCCTCTCAGTATTTTAAAAGAAAACATCAAAAGAGCTTCATCAGTTTATAGAAAGTTACCGGAAAATTCGAGAAGTGCAAAAGAAATAACGGATAATGACAACAGGAAAAAGGAAGTATATAAGAGTGCTTTTAGTGTTGCTGAGCCAGTTACAACTGTTTTGAAGTCAATTAGCGAGCCTGGCAGTAAATGTCTCCAAAATGTTCCACTGAGTGTTGTAAGACAAAACCCTCAACAACTTCTCCAGTTTGCACAAAGTTTTCAGAAAATGGTATTCAAAGAGAACCTGAGCAATATAAATCTACTAACAGAGATCACGACCCCACCTACAGAGCGAGCTGTGCATTTAGAAACTGTAGAGATGAAATATGGGCAGCATGTGAAAGATGTTCTGAGTTGCTTTGTTGGGAACATTTTATCAACAACGAAACCTGTACTAAACATGTTGACAGCGTTTCTTCCGAAAATGAGGAAAATATACCGCCAATTTTGCTTTCTAAAGGTATGAAAACTAACCTAGAGATTCGCAGAAGATATGCTGTGGATGGAGAACAAAGGGAAGTATCCTTTGATAAAGTGAGAAAGGGCAATAAAAGGAAGATCGCACATGACAAGAGAATAGCGGGAGAAGCTTATGTCAGTAGCACCTCTGGAAAGGCTGTTTTAGCTAAAGGGATGAAACCTCGTTGTACTAGTGAAAAATGCAAGAGTACAGTGTGCAGCATTAGTGATTTCCAAAGGCAGAAAATATTCAACGCTTTTTATGTTACAAAGAGCTTACAGCAACAAAGGGAGTTTATTATACGACACGTACAGATCAAAGCTATCAAGCGGAAAAGGACAGACAAAGAAGTTTCACGTAGGTCGAAGACATTTGAATACCACCTTCCTAAAAGTGACGGAATGTCCGTAGTTTGTAAAACAATGTTTTTAAACACTTTGGGAATTTCAGAAAAGACAATGCGTACGGCTTTATCTAAAAGAACAGAAGAAGGGATAGTAGAGCCCGATAGACGAGGAGGACGACATGAAATGTTGAAAAAAAAACGATGCAAAAATGAGAGCTTCAGCATTAGAACACATTCAGAAGTTTCCTAGAATGGAGTCACATTTTTGTAGGCAGTCCTCTTCACGAGAGTAATTACACCCTGATTTGACTGTGAAAAAAATGCACTATTTTTACCAAAACGATAATGGCAACCAACCACATTGTAGTTATCATACATATCGACGGACTTTTAAAACTCTAAATCTTTCCTTTCATCATCCTAAGAAGGATCAATATACTTTGTGCTTGTTATACAGGCAAGCTGATGAAAAAAGAAAACTGGAACTCGAGGATGCTTATAATAATCATACTGCTGAAAAGATATCTGTTCGCAGGAAAAAAGAAGAAGCCAAGGAAACATCAAAGTTAAATCCTAGCGTTCTGGCTGCTGCTGTATTTGACCTACAACAAGTCATACAGCTTCCAAAAAGTAAAGAGAGTGCCTTATTTTTTCGTCGCCGCCTCTCTTCAATCAACTTCACGATTTACAATATCGGAAATAAAGAATGCTATTGTTTCTTTTGGGATGAAACTATAAGCAAGCGAGGGGCTAGCGAAATATCAACATGTGTAGCAAGATATCTGAATGAGCTAGACAATCGGGGGATCAAGGAAGTCAGGTTATTTGCAGATGGCTGTAGCGGCCAAAACTGCAACACTATTGTTTTAGCTATGATGCTATACGTAATTACAAATTCAAAAAATATGGAAAAAATTGTTCTAAGTTACTTTGAAACAAATCATGGTCAGAGCGAGGGCGATTCTGCGCACAGCTTAATTTGTCATGCCATATCTTTAGCAGGAGATATTTTTATACCTGCTCAACTAGCCAGAAGAGCGATGCCCTATAACGTAATCACAAAGAGTAGTGATGATTTCTATAACTACAAGGCCCTGGCTGAAAAAGTTAGAATTCGTTCAATAAGAAAATTTGACTCTGGTGAAGATGTTGACTGGACAAAGGTCAAAGAAGTTATGGTTAAAAAACATCAAAATACGCGCCTTTTTGTAAAAAAAACAGTCATCTTGCCGAAAATTACTATACTCTCTCTTTGAAAAGAAACGCTTTGTGAGTGATGAACCAACCTTTATTGAAACTTAATAATGGTTCCATAAAATTGGATGCAAAAAAATACAATGACCTAGTTCAACTTTGTGGAGGACGAACGCCAGTTGTGCGAAATGAACTTTTTCAAAAATTTTCCAGGGATCTTCCTCATAATAATAATTAGTGCTAATTTCGTTCCAGTTCAGAAAAATTAATTCGTTTAAAATAGGTTGTTTAATGTGTTTAGTTTTAATGAAAATATTTCTCGTTGATTTAAAACACTAGTTTCCCTTTTAATTTTCTTCAAACAACAACGGTTAGTCACCACCGATTGTCATTAGGGCATATTACCATCCAAGGCGTATCTGACATATCGATTCAATAAGAATCTGGCAGACAGGCGTATGTCCTTTTAGTGCCTTTTTTGAGACATTAGAATCAAGGTCTACCGATTTGACTATCATAGTTTTTATCTATACCCCTCAGTGTACTTACATAGAATATGAATTAATATACTATCCAATTATTTTTGGATTAACATGCACCATATCAAAAGTAAATTTATTAAATTCGATCTCTTGTAAAATTTAGGGAATGTCGCTTACGCCACTATGCGAGATCAGCGACGATATTTGTATTTTTACTTGATGGGGGCGACAGACAGTACATTTGCCTAGGGCGCAAAAGTCGCTTGCGCCGACTCTGCCTAAAACCGATAATCAGGCCTATGATGTATCATTTTCTGTTATTTCAACAGCAACGTTAAGTTGTCTGTCACTGTTTATCTTACACGAAAATATAGAGACAGGTATAGATTTTGAGCTATAACACAGGATACATCATAGGCCTGAATGTTTATAATTTTTCAATACCACAGTAAAAAATGCAGGTCCGTATTTGAAAAAAAATCAAAACTATAAGTAAAAAAAAAACATGAACTTCTCGTAGTTTTCAAATTTTTTCCTGATTTCATTTAAAAATATTTTGACAAACTAATTTCATTTTCTCATTGTCACTTTTGCTCCTCTACAAGATGGCCGTATTAAATTTAAAATCCAACGTTTCGTTCCTCTGGAATCATCATCAATTTTTTTTTTTTTTAAATACGGACCTGCTTTTTTTACTGTGTTATAGATAAATTATAAACAGTGTCGGTTTAAGGATGCCCAAAGATGACAAAATCGCAAATAAAGAATCCAGGTTCGTATTTAAAAAAAGTAAGTTGAAGGTGGCCCCCTGAAGACGAAACGTCGGATTTTAAATTTAGTAGCACCATCTTCTAAAAAGGAAAAAGTGACAATGATGAAGTGACCTTCATTTTTAAATTGCTCTTTCAATAAGCCCAGGAAAAAATAGAAACGATTTCACAAAATTTCGGTTTTTTCCGAATATCTCCGGAAGTATTCGGAATCTTTCTAATTTCAGAACGGATTCTATTAGTCATAAAATTGCGCAACTTTGCCATAATTTAACCGACCCTGTATCTCTTACGTTTTCCGAGATCCCAATGATGAGGCTCGAATTTGGGCCACCCTGTACTTAACTGAATTCGGGTTGACACATGTCCCACCTGACGAACGCATCGACCCCACAACGCCCGAGGAAATATATCTGGTTTACAAAACAAACTTCAAATTACAAATGTCTATATTCATCTTTGGGCGACTTTTTCTATCTTTTCCGAAAAATTCTTAACAAGATTTTTTCTTAATCTCATCAAGATTTCAATAATCATATTTTTAGAATACCTTTAGTGGTCGTTTTTTGAAGAAAATCACAGTATTATGTTTTCGAGTATTCGTTGCGCCCCCTAGCGGTCAACTTACAAACTTAAAAACTATTTCCTGCAATTTTTCATGGCTTTTTTACGGAAAAAAATTTACTTGGAAGCTCTAGGACTACTACACCTTTTCCAATTGTATTTCAGAAAGTGTCAAATGTATTTCAGAGAGTGTCAAATGTATTTCAGAATAGCCAAATGTATTTCAGAAAGCGTTAAATGTATTTCAGAATAGCCGAATGTATATCAGAAAGCGTTAAGTCTATTTCAGAATAGTTAAATGTATTTGAGATAGCGTTGGATGTATTTCAGAATAGTTAAATGTATTTCAGAAAGCGTTAAATGTATTTCAGAATAGCCAAAAGTATTGTTCATGTATTTAACAAAAATCGGTTCATGTTTTGGTTAGTTAGCCAGTTTCACCAGCAGGTACTGAGTTCCCGTACGGGAGGCTACTCAGCTATAGTTTTTTGAGCGAATATCTCTAGATTGATTATTTCAATGTTTGCCAGGATATTCGCTCGTCAGGGTGGGAAAATGTTAGTAGATTCAACAAGGCCCTAATGTACGCTCTGGATACCAAAAATCAAAATTCCAGCACAAAAGACAGCACTTAATTTTTCTAAGTTTCAATTTACTCTTTATCTGCCTTTTTCACAGCATGAACCGATTTTTGTTAAATACATGAACAATGCACATGTTATAAAAAATGTTATAAACAAACACAAAAACATAAAAATGAAAAAATAATACTTGTAAAAATTGAAATCCCAAAAAAAATAACATTTATTCAACTGACCTGTGAATGCTCCTTATGACACACAAACTAATCACAAATTGGATTGAACAATCAGTTTCATACAAAATAAAAATTGAATAATGAACAATGGCAGACAACCTTCTTCTCTCTGGTCTAGTATCTCTTTTTCTATCTCCCCTTCGCTTCGGTACTTTCGTTTTTTTGTGTGGCGCGTCTACGCTCGCCCCTACTCGACAGCGCATACATGGTTGCAAAATTTACCATTTGCTTTTCTATAGGAAACATTATCTTAAAAAAATAATATTATTTTCGAACGTCATATAACAGCAATTTTTGTGATCATTTTGACAAGGTTTAAGTGTGACTTCAATGACTTCAAGCTTGAGCTGCGTATAAGTGTTATAAACCGCCGGAGTATAACATTTATACGCCATTACACGTGTTTTTCCATAGCGATTTAAGGTAGTTCACCTGTACACACAGGTACAGGTGCTTATAAAGATGATCCTTCTAAATATGCATGTCATAATTTAAATTAAAAATTCTGCATTTGTAGTATAACATACCCGGGTTCGTTCAGTAAGATTGAACGATGAGAATTTTTATTACCTTTGGAACAACAAATATTCTGATAAACGAAATGAAAAACAAATAGGACCTACGTTGTGGAAACTTACTCAATTTTACTTACTGGACATGCGCCCGACATAGAAAATATTAGGGAAATTTAAGGGAAGTTGTGATATGTAAAAGAAACGAAAAATTGGTGAAACGTCCACTTTATTATTAAAGTAAATCGTACCGTTCTCATCCTGGAACTAACGAGGGGAAAGGGCACGGCAGAGAAACCCTCAATCTAACATTCCTCAAAAATCGAAACATACTGTGTCATTTTTATAATAATTTTGAGTCAATAATTTAAGTCAATAAAAGTTTAAATTAGGTACCATCCTTTGTCTTTCTGCTAAAATTTCAATTACACACACTACCTTCAATCAACACTACCTATATTCAATACTGAAGAGTTTTTTTCGCTAGTTAGCCAATTTCCCAGCAGGTACTGAGGTCCCATACGGGAAGCTTCTTAGCTATAGTTGTTTTTGAGCCAATATTTCTAGATTGATTATTTCAATTTGCTAGGATATTCTCTCATCAGGGTAGGAAAATGTAAGTAAATTCAACAAGGCCCTAATGCACGCTCTAAATCCACAAAATCAAAATCTCAGCACAAAAACACAGCACATAATTTCTTAGGTTCTAATTCACTTCTTTATCTGTGTCGTTTACAGTATGAAACGATTATAAAAAATGTTATAAACAAACAAAAAATATATGAAAATGAACAAAATAATAGGAACTTGCATAAATTGAACTTTCAAAAACAGAATAACATTTAATCCACTAACCTGTGAACGCTCCTTACACACACATTAATAACAAATTGAATTGAACAATCAATTTTAATGCAAAATAAAAATGAAAATTGAATAATGAATAATTACAGACGTCTAAAGGAACAGCCCCAGCTTGTTGTCAAATCTAGTTGCGTCTTCTCTATCTCCCGTTCGCAGTACCGTTCCTTGTGGTCGAAGATTTGAATGATGGTTTTCCTCACATTATTTGGAATAAAGATTGTTAGAAAATAAAATATTGTATTTCATTCGGATTATAAGTATTCATGAAAATCTAGTTTTATAACGAGCAGATTGGAATAATTATCATTCCTATGTCTTCAATGTAATATAAATTCATCTTTTTTTTTCAGGGTGGCTACTCAACCTCATCTTCCCGAAGTCAGCGACGAATTCGTCCATCTGTTTCTGCACGCCTGCTACTACTCACACGAAAAGACCAAAAACTCTATAGAAGCATGGTTCACTATAAGATCCAATCATCCTACTATATTTTCCAATAGGGACCCTTTGGAACCGAAAATGAAGGCTTTATTGGATATGGGGTAAGGATTTTCCCTGTAGGAAATAGAGTATAGGTTACAACAAGTTTTGAAAATACCAATTTTTATTTGTTTTTTGTATTTTTATTTATTTTTATCAAATAGACCAACAAAAAATTAACAATGAACACTTCCCATGTATTTTTTTAATGCAATTCTTTATAATCTCTATAAGCTCTTCAATTCATCTCCATTATTTAATTTTTTTCAGCTTTTCGGCATTTGTTAAGATTTAATGAGATATTTTTTTATTGGGATCTTCACAAAAGATTACTCCATATGACCCTTCTCTCTACACTTTTTCATTAATTCAATATAAGATAAAACTTTCCTTGTAGGTTTTTTAATATTTTTAGTTTTTTTCCTTGATGGCACTCTAATTTCTTCAACTGTCATCATTTCACATGTAAAACCTTTACCAATAGACTTTTCTTGGCAAACCAACTTATTTGATATAACTTTGAATAGTGGAATTTTCACTTGTTTGCCTTTCTCTGTCTTCTTTAATTGCTCTTCTTCTAATTTTTGTAGATCTGCATCTGATAAAATTTCAACACAAACCAGCCTAAAACAAACTTATGAAAGATAAAAATAACACAGAAAAAAGTCGTTACTTTGACTTATCAAATTTATCTGTAACAACTGCACATTTTACAATTCTTTCAACTCCATCTTTATCAAAATCTTCGTCTTCATAGTCATCAACTAATTTACCATCTTTATCACAAGTGCACACTAACTTTTCACCAAGACCCAATTTCTGTACTTTAGCAACGAAAGTATTTTTTCGCAACAATAATTCTTCAACTTCCTTTTCAGTTGCAGCTAAAAAATAGAAATATTTGAAGTGTTGAAATAATCAACAAGAAAATTAGGCCCTAGCTGACGTTACACACATAACCTCACTTTTGACTGGGGGACAAAAAAAGCGTTTAAGGAATATTTACATAAATACGTATATAAATGTAAATCGTTTGTTTGTCCCAATGACATGTTTGTCCTCTTATCGGAAGTGAAGTTATGTGATTGGTGACGGAATAGCTAGCGCCTAATTGATGTGTTTAAAATAGTCCTCAACCGCTTTTTTTGTCCCTCCATCGAAAGTGTAACGTCAGCTAGTGCCTAATTACTTACTAGTAGTCACTGGATTCAATTTTCTCCTAGTCCTGAGCATGGACTCTCTCAATAACCCCGTATCCCTCACATGATCAATTTTATCATATCCAACGGTCAAATTTTTAATTCCCTTTTGCAAAGAACAATCTTTAGATTTTTTTTCAGAATTTTCATAACATTCTTTCTTGTCATTGTCTTCTTGAAGCAATTGTGGACACAAATATTCTTTAGCTAATACAAATTGAGCTTCAGCTGCATTTGAAATAGTCGTACGATCACAGAGCAAATCAGTTTTCGGCTTAGATAAATTTGCATATGGTTTAAAATAATCTAGATGCTTCTTTGAAGAAACATATGTGCTATCATTTTCTCTAGATGTTCTAGCAAGTTTAAAAAACTGAAGGCTCTCATTATCATTTTTGTCCACCAGAAAGCGTTTTTCATTACCGATGTTAGAACTAGCACATGTTTCAACTGCTGTAGGAATTTTTGTTAGTGGTAAGGTTTCAGAAATGCATTCTAATCCTTTTCGCAGCTGTGTTGATTCGTTTACAACACTCAACCTTCCTTGCTCAGCAGTGGATTTTGGTTCTATTTTCTTGCGCTGAGACATATCATGAGAGGTTGGCGCAAACTCCACCTTCAGAAAGTCTTCTGCAGACTTACGTCCAGTAGCACTTGATTTTTGAGACACTTCCCTGCACTGAGATATTTCATTAGAATTTGTTGCACATTTCACTTTCAAAAATTCTTCTGGTGATTTTTGTGCAGCTGCACTTGATTTCTGACAATCAGTTGATTTTCGAGCTACTTCCCTAAAGTTACTACTTTTATTGCTTAATAGATCACTAACTGATCTGTCGCTCTTCATATTTTTTGTGCAGGTAATACTTTGTACTTTTGGCTTAGGCAGGAACGTCTCTCTGGCTGTAAAAACCGAAGGCTTCTTTTTCTTTCGTTGACAATTCATGGGTTTTTTCTTATTTTGAGTTTTAATGCCCTTTAAGGATATAACTCTCCTCTTTTTTGGTTTTTTGCTTTTGCATGGCTGACAATATTCTGCTGCTCTTTTTTCCATTTTTACTGATATTTCTTTATTTAGAGTTTCAAGTGATACTCGAGGCCCATTTTGCTTACTGTTTCCACTCTGACATTCATTCTTTCTAGTCAGTGGTACCTTGTGCTTAGATTTTCCACATAAATCTTCTTTTTTTGGTGCGCATATAGCCTTTTTTTGTTTGATACTTTGATCTCTTTGTTCAGATTTTTTACAAAGAGCTTGCTTGGATTTTTCAGTATGAAGATCCTTCTGATCGCTTATCATTTTTTGTTTTGATCTTACTGTTGCAATGCATTTATTCAGTGTGCTATTTCTTGGATCTTGGGAAGAGCCACTAGGAGCAGAAGAATCTTCTTTCTTTAGCACACATATATCCTGCTTTTGTTTCATACTCTCGGCACTTTGTTCAGATATTGCACAAGGAGTTTCTTTCTTTCGCTTACATGGGTCTTCTTTTTTATCTGTACAAATATCAACTTGTGCGCTTTTTTTAGATTTCACCCAAGGATATTCTTTCTTGGCTTTGCGAAACTTTCCTATTTTTTTCGTTGACTCGACAGATTGATCGGATTTTTCACAAGGAACTTGTGTGGGTTTTTTAATATTGATATCCTTCTGATCGCTTATTATCGCTTGTTTTGATCTTATTTCAATGAATTGATTCAGTTTTCTATTTATTGGATCTTGGGAAGAGCCACTAGAAGCACAAAGATCTTCTTTCTTTGGTACACATATATCCTTCTTTTGTTTCAAACTTTGTTCAGATTTTGTACAAGAGCTTTCATTCTTAGGCTGACATGGGTCCTCTTTTTTATCTTCACAAAAATCCTTCCGTTTCATCACTTGAACACTCTGTTTTGATTTTATCCCAGGATCTTCTTCCTTGGATTTGCATAGCTTCTCATAAAACTCTCCCGTTGTTTCCATTGACTTTGCAATGGATTTCTTAGTTTTTTTTTGACAATCTATGAGAACACTATTTTTTTCTGTGGACCCTTTCGATTCATTTTCATTTATAAGTATTTGGCAGATTGCGGCCATCTTCGAATCATCCTTTTTCGAACATTTTTTTTGACAATCAGTCAAAGGCTTTGTACTATCAGATTGTGCTTTTTGTGGTGCCTCTAAATCCTTATTATTGGTTTTCAAAGAATCAGAAGATTTCCTGTTTGTGGATTCAATTTCTGTGTGTCTGCACCATTTCGGTAGCTCTTGATGATATTTTGGTTGTTGCACTGATCTACTCATTTCTAATTTTTGCATGCAAAAGTCTTTAATGCCTATAGTCGAGTCCACTTTACTTCTGCTAGGAAATAAACTGTCACAAGTGGATTTTTCATTAGTTCCAGAATTTTTTGAAGCATCACAAGTTGATTTTGATCCAGAAGCTACATACTGATTTGTATTACCATCATACCCCTCCGACTTAGACCTTTTGACTCTAGAGGTAGTATGAAACGCCATCCTTCTTGCAAGTGGATTGAAATCTCCTACTATCATGTATGCTTTATCGCAGATGATGCCAAGGGTTTTTTTGAGTTGATTGCACGAAGCCGAACGATAATAATTTATCTGGTTGGTTAACATCACTGGAACATCTGAAATAAAAAAAAGTCATTTGTTGTGCCTCTTGTCCTAATTTACAACTTACATTCCACGGATAACGTGAATTTTTATCTTTAGTTTTTGGTGTTTTGCACCCTTTCGACTCTTTACCTGAGGAAAAGGATAAAAAGCGGTTTGGAAGAAGACATTTAATAGAAATTCTTTTCCGGTCAGGAATTAGTTGCAATGCAACTAATTCTTAACAGGAATAATAATATTAATGAGAAAATAATAATACCTAATAAATTAACTCTATCAAAAATTCTTACCTTTAGCTGGAAAAGGAGCAAATGTTTGACAAGGATCTTGTTTGCTGCCTGGTTTCTTATTCATTGCAGTATCAAACTTTTTAAGTAATTTATCTCCAGGTAAACAGGGAATGTCTTCTTTTGCTTTTCTGTGCTGGAAACAAGGATCTGACTGGGCTTTGCCTTTATGAAAATCAATTTTTTGATTGCTATTTTTGGGTATACATTGTGAAGCTTTGGTCAACAAACACTCTTTGTTCTTTTTCATCAGAACCCAAGGATACTTTTCTTTGAAATGCTGCGTTGTTGCTTTTGCCGTTTCAATTGGTCTATTCATTGCACCATCACAGCGGTTCGCACCTATTAAACATCCTAAAAACATAGCTTTACAATCGGCGAATCTTCCAGTTTGGTTTTCGCAGGGGTCGTCTTGCTTCGCTTTACAGAGATCTTTTTTGTCAGATGTGCAAGGATTCTTTTTCTTTTGCTTGCATGGATCTTCTTTCTTTGACTTACATGGATCATCCTTTTTCTTGCAGAAATCTTCTTTTTTTCTCCCACAAGGATCGTCCTTTTTCTTGCATGGATCTTCTCTATTTGACTTACATGGATTATCCTTTTTCTTGCAACAATCTGCTTTTTTTGGCTTACAAGGATCGTCCATTTTCTTGCACGGATCATCTTTCTTTGACTTACACGGATCTTCCTTTTTCTTGCACGGATCTTCTTTCTTTGGCTTACAAGGATCGTCATTTTTCTTGCACGGATCTTCTTTCTTTGGCTTACATGGATCGTCATTTTTTTTGCAAGGATCCGTTTTTGGTTTTTTAGAGTGACCATCCTTGTGATCGGCTATTATCAATTCTTTTGATTTTTGTTTAACGCAATCACTAATTTTCTTTAGTTTTGGATCTTGAGAAGTGCCAGAACTGTCTTTTTCCGAATTAGATTTACATGGATTTATTCTGCCAGAATCTTTGCTGGGCTTTTTACCGTGATCATCCTGTTGATCGGCTACTATAGAACCTTTTGATTTTTGTTTAATGCAATCACTAATTTTCTTTAGTTTTGGATCGTGAGCAGCAGAGCGATCACTTTTTCTTTCCTGATTAGCTTTACAAGGATCGTCTTTTGCCTTTTTACAATCAGATTTATTGGTCTTTGCGGATTTTGGCTGATAGAGTGACATACCCTCTAACAGTCTTTTATCCATACAATCGGCAAGCGTCTTTGTTTTACTTGAATCATCCTTACAAGAATCTGATTTACCTTTCTTGGAATAATCTTCATATTTGCAAGGGATGCATGGTTCAGATTTGGTTTTTGCCTTTGATTTTTTAGAATAATCTTCATATTTACATGGAATACATGGTTCGGACTTCTTCTCTTTACAGGGATCCTCTTTGGCTCTCATGCATGGATCATCCTCCTTCTTTTTACAAATATCTTTTGGTTTCTGACAAGGATCATCTTGCCTTTTTTTACAAGGATCCTCACTGGGTTTTTTGCATGGATCGTCTTTCTTTTTACAAGGATCTTCTCTTGGTATCTGGCAACGATCTTCTCTGGGTTTCTTGCATGGATCGTCTTTCTTTTTGCAAGGATCTTCTCTGGGTTTCTTGCATGGATCGTCTTTCTTTTTGCAAGGATCTTCTCTGGGTTTCTTGCATGGATCGTCTTTCTTTTTGCAAGGATCTTCTCTATATTTCTTGCATGGATCGTCTCTCTTTTTACAAGGATCTTCTTTTCGTTTCTGGCAAGGATTTTCTCTGGTTTTCTCGCAATGACCGCCCGACTTGTCGTCGACTATTTCAGGGTTGGATTTTTGTTTTTTAACGCAATCATTTAGTTTTCCCACTTTTGGGTCCTGCGATGATCCTTTTCCTTCAGCACATCGATCTTTCTTTTGTCGTGGACAGCTATCCTTATTATCTTGGCCTTCATCAGCTGCAATACCTTTTTCTTTTAAGCGATTTAGGCAATCCTTTAATTGTTTTAGAATCTCTTCGGTATCAGATTTGCTTCTACTTTGACCATCATTTGATTTACATAAAAATCGGTTAGCTATCTTATTCAGATCAGTAGAAAGTTCGATTTGGGGATGATTGTCTAAAATAATATGTAAAAGAAAATAAATAATTGACTGATGCATAATATATAACCAAGTTTATGCTTCCGTTAAACCGTTTTAATCGCTAGAATGAAAACCCTGTGTTTATACTTCAATTATATGGCCATCTCCAATGATGCAGTGTATTTGTAATAACAATTAGTCATAGGTTAGCTCAGCATTTAATATTTTATATAAATATGAGCAAGTCAATAATAAGTTAGTTCTTTAGTTCGCTTCACTGGGTTCACACGTTATGAATTAAGTAATAAAGTTTTTTTGAAATCACAAGTTGCTTAATTTAAAACATAACCGGCGCAGTCTGTAAAATTCCTTTCGGGTCTAATTCCAGGTCTAATCCTTTCGAGTATTTTTTCGGGTTTTCGAAAAGTTTTCATTGGATTACGGGAGTATACCTCTCCGTTCTAACAGTTGAGAAAGGAATAAACGACAACAAAAGTCAACAAACGCGAAGTGCTATTGGCTCCTGGTAGACATCGCTGTGTGGTTCGCCATAACAAGAGAAGCCAGCGGGATATTTTGGCGTATGCTAGTGTCCACTAAAGACTTGTCCAACCTGAGCAGTAATAGCAGTATATCTCATCAGCGAAGAAACGTTTGATACAGGTTAGAGATTGGACTACTTTTGTGAGTCCTTTCCTATAAAATTGAACAGCCTGTTAGTTAAGACATTGTTTCCATTTCAAAACAAGTGAGGTTTCCACTTTTCCAAATTAAATCAAGTGAAATGAAACATTTGTACAAAACCTTTGTACTAGATTGTGATATTGAAAAAAAATTTACGATTCGAACCGATTGAACTCAATAATTTTCAGATATTAACTTTTGAAAAACAAACAACTACGTTACATGCAAAATCTCTAGTGAAAAAAGACTCTGAAAAAGTCGATTCCAAATCTCTGATATCTCTAACAAGACATAAACACTTGAATGCTGAAGAACGCTTTCAACACTTCAAACGTATCCAATACTATCCAAAGTTTAATAAAATTTTGCATAGACCTGGAGATACCTTAATATTTTCAAATCAAGTTAAGCATGGTATCAATACAACAGATGAAATTCTAATACATACCAAAAGCTATAGATACCCTCATGTTCATAAAGAGGAAGTAAAAAATCAAATAGGAAAAATGTTACAAGATAAAATTATTCAACCTTCGAGTTTACCTTGGAGCTCATCTGTTTGGATTGTTCCAAAAAAAAGCAGACGCATCAGGAAAGAAAAAATAGAGACTCGTTATAGATTATCGCAAAATAAACGAGAAAACCATAGATGACAGATATCAATCACCTAATATAGCGGCTATATTAGATAAGCTTGGAAGATCGTAATATTTTACATTAGATTTACTGAGCAGATTCCACCAAATCGAAATGGATCCCAAAAGCATACGCAAAGCAGCATTTAACGTAGAGCATGAACATTACGAAGTCTTACGAATGCCCTTCGGATTAAAAAATGTTCCTTCAACCTTTCAAAGAGCTATAGAAAATGTATTAAAAGAATTACTTGGTGAAATATGTTTAGTCTATATGAACGACATAATTATATACTCAACATCACTTCAACAACACCTTGATTCTTTACAAGTATTTGAACGATTCTCAAAATTCAATTAGATAAGTGTGAATTCCTCCACAAAACTGTTGAATTCCTTGGACATACAATAACTTCAGATTGTATTAAACCAATTGAAAAGATAGTAGAAGCAATAAAAAAATTCAAAATTCCAAAAACACCAAAGGAAATAAAATCTTTTTTCTACTGACGTTTCATAATAGCAACTTTTCGATTGTTATTTTAGTTTTGAAACGACATTCTTTTAAGCACTCAGCAGACTTTTAGGCACTCAGTGCGTAAAAGTGACTTTCAAGTGCGTAAAAGTAACTTTAAAGTACGTAAAAGTGACTTTCAAGTCCTTTGACCTGATGATCCATCAGGTCAAAGGGCTACAAAGAACAATAAGAATAATATTCTAAAAAAAATTTCCTTAAAGTCTACTTACAATAATTATAGTGTACTTACAATAATTGTAAGTACACTTTAAGGAATTTTTTTTTAGAATATTATTCTTATTGTTCTTTGTAGCCCTTTGACCTAATGATGGGGTGTAAGTTTTGGACCCCAAAACCATGGTAGTCTAATTGAGTGATTTTTTGAAAAATAAATTTCTCTTTTTGGAATTGTGAGATTTGACTTTTTGTTCTCCTTTATTTAAAGAAAAATGTTGTAATAATTCATGATTAAAAATTTATCGATCTATTTAATCTCTGTGAAGATATTTCAATGAATGATCCGATATTAAAATATCCTGACTTTTCAAAATCATTTGTCCTTACAACAGATGCTTCAAACTACTCAATAGGCGCATTTCTTTCTCAAGGTCCTATTGGAACTGATTTACCTATAGCTTATGCAAGTAGAACCCTCAATCAAGCAGAATGTTATTATTCTGCTATGGAAAAGAACTTCTTGCAATTGTATGGACAACGAATTACTTTCGGCCCTACTTATTTAGTAAAAAATCACAAACCTCTCCAATGGCTCTTTTCAGTAAAAGACCCAGGTTCAAAGTTAGTCCGATGAAGAGTAAAACTCCAAGAATATGATTATACTATTCAATACAAAAAGGAAACAAAAAATTCTAATGCTGATGCTCTTTCGCGTCCACCCTTAGATACCTACACTTCCTATTAGTATAATTAAAATCAAACCACCATCATCACATAATAGGCCTTTTCGGATTTGAAAAAAGGACAGTTCTAGAACGGTTCAAAATAGTTGCACAGTTTATCAATCAACAAAATGACAACGGCTAGGCTATCACAAATTTCATGGCGATTTCCATTTTTCAATCAGTGCGGTACTGAGTGTATCCGCATCTTTTTCTAAAAATGTAAGGATAAGGATACTTTTTTTTTCGCACTGGTTCGACAAATAGAAATCGCTATCAGTAATAAACTGTGCGATTGTTTTGAACCGTTCTAGAACCGTCCTTTTTTCAAACCCGAGAACGCCTTATGTCAGCTATATGTGAAACTCATAGTGAGATCAGAGAAGAAGAAGAAGACCGATAATATATTCTTGGAGAGATAAAGTCAAGCGTTTCTTTGATACATAAGAAGACTTGTTCGATTCACCAAAGAATATTATTTCAAAGAAAGTTGAAAAAGCTAAGAAAAGCTAAAAAATTAAAATAATATCAGACATTCAAATGAAACCTAATGGTAAGAAGGTAATTCTTGGTAATAAAAACGAATCGCCTAAACCAGGGCCATCTAAAGAAAATAAGAATAAATCGCCAAAACCAGGACCATCCAATGAACATAAAGGATCGCCTGAATCAAAATAAAAAAATATTAGAAAAAACTGGATCTGAAACAGAAACAGTCCATTTAGCTACTGAAAATCCTATCTTAGAAACACCATATGTAGATAAAAGGGTGAATACTCACAAGAAACAAATAATTTTTCTGTGCAACCGTCCGCGAAATGACTTTTCGCGGCCGCCAAACGTGACGTGCAAAATGTGTCAAATCCTTGTCAAATCCATACAATTTTTCTATAACTTTACATGCCTAATTTTTATAGTTGCACAAAAAATAGTGTGTATACCATGACCGCGAAACTTTTTAGCATCCTCGAGATTATCTTGCCTCGGCCGCAAGCGGCCTCGGCGATAACTTTTCTCTAGATACTCTAAAAAGGCGTTTCGCAGTCTTGGTATACAAATAATTATTAAATGGATTAGCCGTATCTAACAACGAAGAAATTATTCGAAACAAAGAAAAGAATAATAATTTTCATCGATGAAAATCCAATTACAAGGGCAATACAAGAACTTTTTAGAGACTATTTAGTACCAGACATTTATTGTATAAATTTTCCTTATAAAGAATAAGAACCTCTAATATTGAGAATATTCCAAGAAACTTTCAAGAATAACACATTTAAACTTGTGATTTCCAAACACCCTTCTTGAAGATTTAATAGATCAAGAATAAGAACAAAAGGAGATAATTGAAAGATATCACACAACAAAAACATCACATCGAGGTATAGTAGAAAACATCAAAAATATTGAACAATTATATTATTAAATTGAAAAAGTAGTCCATGACTCAAAGTGGAGTTGAAATTGAATTTCAAAGAAAAACACCCAGTCTTCCTCCACAAATATATCTTTATTAGATCTAAAACGCCCTACTAGTTTCGAAACTAGACAGTTTCATCTTCAGGGGCAAAATTATTTAAATCAGCTAAGATATCAAATGGTTATAAAATTTCATATTTTCATAAAAAACATATTATTGATGGCCAACCCTTGAACGCGACGTAATTAATTTCATTAATACTTGTGAAACTTTATCAGAAAACGAAATATGATCTACATCTTCACAAGGTTATATACAGGGTGGTTGCGAAATAAGTGCGCACCGAGGTGCGCATTTTGTTATGATAGATAGAGTATATAGTCTAGGAGGCAGTGACGATTTTCGGTACTTATTTTCCCAGTCAGAAAAGATGGATAGAATTGTAGGGTTAGTAATTCTAAGCAAAATACATATATTTTTAGGGGGGGTTTTCCGATGGGTTGAGGCGCAAAATGCGTTAAAGCTTACCAATACACGGTTCTTTTTTTTCTCAGTGATAAAAATAGGTCTACTAATGAGAAGTATACTGACGTTACTTAAAAAAATAGTCCGGCTAATCTGTGAGTATGGATAATATGTCTGGCAAGTGAAAAATTGAAGATCCTAAAAATTTCAGCCAGACTCACTTTCACTATCTGAGATAAGCCAAATTGCTATTTTCAGGTACTTTATGTTCTATTGTAGTAAATGTGAAATATTTATATCTCGGAAAATAAGCCTACTTGTATTTTTCATCGATCTTGTGAACCCATCCGAAAATTTTAGCCAGACTCAAAAATTCTTGCTTTGTATCACCAGGAGAACAAACTATTTAATAGACACCAACTGGGAAAATAAGTGCTGAAAAATTTCACTGCCTCCTGGACTAATAGTAGGACAATCACTTTTTGTATAGGAACAGGTGTCCGCAAACGTCTCGTTAAGAAAATACAGGGTATTGAAATTTGCGGAAAATTCTGACTTCTTGCCTTTACATTCAAAATGCCTTGAGCGATTTTGTTCAAATTTTCAAAGAGTATTTGTGATATAACATGACATAAACTTTTTTGACTTCATTGTTGTTGAATTTCCAGTGTCATGTGAACAGAGTGAAGTAGGTATATCAAACAATGAGATTTTCGAATGTAATACCGGTTCCAGGATTACCAGATAATACTCAACGCGTTACCAGCAACATCACTCCTCCTTCTGAGTCGTGGTGTTGCTGCGTAACGCGTTTCGTGACAGGTAAAAGTATTAGGTAATCCTGAAACATCGAGTGATATTCAAAAGGTTATACAACGAACTGAACTTTAATACTTTGAAATTTGAAAAAAATTCTACAATAGAATTTGCTATAAATGCCACCAAGCGCGATAATCCCAAAAGGTTTATAACTTATTAAGCCTCTCGTGTCATATGGGAATAATGTACAGTGAGTTGAATAATCCAAACAATACATTGCTTTCTATTTTTTTATCTCGTCAACGTCGCATCAAACAAGAAAAACTCTAGATACCTTTTTTGTTTGAAATTGAACAAGGAATCAAAATATAATTTTCAATTTGTCAAAAAGCCACTTTTTTCTTTTCAAAAAATAAGAGGCGCTCTAGGTCCGGTCCTGGAAACTTGGAACTCAAACGGATTTTTTAAAAAGATGCTTGAAAACATTGCAAACACTCCCTGGAAATTTGAACAAAATCCCTCAAGGCATTCTGAATCTAAAGACAAAAAGTCAAAATTTTCCGAAAATTTCAACACTCTGTATTTTCTTAACGAGACGTTTGCGGACACATACCTATGCAAAAAGTGATTGTGTTACTGTAATCTATCTACCATAACAAAATGCACACTTATTTCGGACTCACCCTGTATAAGTCTACCCCAACAGGTTCAAAACCTTTTGAACACATTTATATAGATACTTATAGTATCTGGTCAAAAATAGGTACCTAATAGATAATTTCTCAAAATTTACAACTGCGTATCCTATTAATGAAAACGCAATTGGAATTTGTCAAAACTTGATTAAACTTTTCTCACATCATGGACCACCTAGTAAAATTACTACTGATAATGCTCAAGCATTTAATACTTATTTGTTTTACTAGGCAGAAAAGTACTGGTACCAGCCAAGGCATTAAATCTGATTTTCTTCCGTGTGAAACATTTAATTTTTTCTCCGAATTTGCTCTAATTCCACTCATAGTCATCTTTTTGTATTGATTTTATTCTTAATATTTAAATAATTAAATTATTTTGACAAAAATGTAATATTGTCATTGTCATTGTCAATTTTGAAGACCAGATTGATTAAAATTATTTTCTAGATCGTTGCGTAGAAACTAACTTTCAATGCCTAGGCAGTAACAGTCCACTTTCACTGCCTAGGCAGTGGAAATAGATCTTTTGAGCCTGTCAAGTATCATTAAAAAGTCGCTTTCACTGTCATTCGGAGAAAAAAGTAATTCCAAGATCTTTGTAAAACTTACAAGATTGGGTTACATTTTGTTACACCTTATAATCCTAATTCAAATTCACCAATTGGAAGGTTCCATTCAACGTAAAAGGAAACCTTCGTAGCTCTTATGTCGGTTTTCCACCAAAAACACAACCCAAACTCAAACTTTTCCCAAACATTTTCAAGACTAGCGTATTTCGAGACAGTTGGAGTTTTGTTTCGCCGAGAAAACATAACGTAGTCCGCTTGATGGAACCAAGAGTTTTGTGTTTATTTCAGTTTTGTTTTTGTTTTAAAACATGTTTTAAAACACAACAGTCCGGTCAGTGGAACACCGGCATTAGGAATAAGCATCGTTCCAAAACTATCCAAAAATTGATTGATATTGCTATATTAAATTATAATAATAGCATACATTCTTTACATGATTTTATATCATACCATTCCAAATACTGGAAGGTAATCTCAATTATCAATTAAATTTTAAGAAAAATTTGAATGGAATACAAATGGATTATACAGGGTGCCCACTTGGTGCGGTATTGAACGATATCTCCTTACAGGGTGATGCAAGAAAAAAAATCGAATTACAAAGTTGTTTGATACTCTAATATGCATTAGTTAAAAATATTTTTGAATATACCGGGTGCTCCGTTTATGGGGTATGCGACAGAACTTTGTTATTTTAAATAGAACACCCTGTATATGATTGCATATTTGGATTCTACGTAAAATTCTGAGCAGATTTCATGCAATATATCCTATACCTATAAGTGCAACTGTTTTGGAGATATTGACAGTTGAAAATTGACTTTTTGCAACTTGACAGGCTGTAAAACTTAAATGGTTAATTTTAGAGGAAAACCGATTTTACATTCGTATCTTGGATTTTCATAAACTAATATTTGACACTAACTTTGAATTTAACCGGAGATTAAATTTAACTGGAATTTTTAATCATGGATTAAATTCAAAATTGGTGTCAAATGAAAGTTTATAAAAATCTAATACAGGAATGTAAAATCGGTTTTTGTCTAAAATTAAGCGTTTAGGTTTTACAGCCTGTCAAAGTTGCAAAAAGTCAATTTTCAGCTGTCAATATTTCCAAAACAGTTGAACATAGGTATAGGATATGTCACATAAAATATGCTCAGAATTTTACGTAGACTCCAAATATACAATCACATACAGGATGTTCCATTTAAAATAACAAAGTTACGATAATTATATCAGAACTTTGCGAAGTAACCAGGAAAAGTTACATCAAGATTTGTCATCCTCACAGACAATCCTCAAACAATTAACAAAAGACGTTGATACCCAGTTGACTAATGTCGGAATATTCAACAGAAAATTATGAATCATATAAATAACCTCACTCGAATGACTCAATCAACGTCCACTACTATGTACTTTATTATGTTACTAGATAACCAAGAAAACAATATAAGTACGTTTCATCAATTACTGTATTCCTTTTATACATCGAGGTACACCGAACGCGTCACTCTAGAGCTCCTCGGAGTCACTCCAAAACACACAATTCAGATATAATAATTATTCCTTAATATTAACATGACCTAAAAGAGCTTCTTGCAACCCCCGAAAATTAGGTGCATCAGGGAAAATGAGGGTGCGCTATCAAAACGGTTTAACGAGATAAAACGGTTTATAGGGTGTTTATACAAGCATTTTATAGTAAAACGTTTACTGTTAAAACAGTTTAACGGGAAGCATAAACGTGGTATAATTATATGTATGTATGTAATATCCAACACAGCCAACTCAGTCATTTTGTGTGTGTAACACGTGTTTTAACGGGAAACCATAGGTTTTCAATGTGCACCTTTCATAACATCAATATGCACTTACCTTCTATATCTAAAAAATTCTCGGTCTCTATTTCGTGAATGTTTGACTTCTTAGTTCCTAAACACCAATCAGGTATGCCCTTCTTCTTCGGGTTGCTTTCCGTTTTCTTAAACAAGTTAGAGAAATCCAGGAAATCTGAGTCAGGCTTTTTCCCGTTACCATCATTGCCATCACTTCCGCCAGCAATAGACATTCCTGAAAACAAAATCAATTACGACTACATTCAAAGATCTACTTAGAATAAATATCCCTTAAGTTATAGCTAGCTGTGCAAATAACCATTAAACTTTAATTTGAAATATTAAATAGCTATACCTCTACCTGAAGGACCTCCAAACTTTCCAATCACAGGTTGACTCTTGGATAATGTAACTACAATCGGAGGTGCGTTTTTACCACTCTTATTCTTCCGGACAATCATCATGCATAAATCTGATATTTTATTGCTGCACGATTCCATCAAAGACTGGTCATGTGATATTTTTGCAGGGGCAGCCCTCATTTCATATTGCTTATTTGGAGCTGTTGCCAATTTTAGTTGTTCTGATAAAATAGAATTTTGTTTGGGCCCGGTATTGCACTTATCACGTTTGATGGTTTGCTTGTCCTTCATCTTATTTGCTGAAAATTAAACGCGTTTTGGTTATCAACATTAAAAAAAAAATAATAAACGTTATTTACCATCGATTTGCACTGCCTGCCAATCTTTCTTAGTTTCTTTTTCGAATAACACTCCCTTATTACACGTAGCAGCTTTTTGCTGCTTCAACATTTCCTCTTGCATCTCTTTCAACCTTTTCGTTTCTTGCATGTCTTTATCCAAAATTTCGGAATCGCAATATCTGTTCTTGACTTCACAATCTTTAGTTTCTTTTTGCTCCTTGGGAATTGCATTTGCCTGTTTCGAAAATGTTTTTGTCAGTCGGATAAAGGCTTCAGCAATAGGTTTTCTACAGCATGGACAAGGCTCATTTTTCTTAGGATCCGGTTTGATGATCTCTTTCATTCCTTCGAAACTATGATGTTTAGGTTTTTCGCAACTAGAAACGTTTTTTACGCAAGGTTTGAAAGGTTCTACGGACGGTTTGCATTTTGGGCAAGGAGTTTGTATACATTGAACAGGTTTAACTAGAACGGAAAAAAAAAACTATGAAAGTTTACATAGTTTTAAGTATGTTAAGTGAGTGTAGGGAACAAGAAGTCATATTTTCATGACTTTTGGTACCTAAGTCAAACCTATGCATATATTGGTGCAGCAAAATGGTTCCTTATTTACAGTGCAGCATGTGTATTTTCGACTAAAATTCCTATGAGAACGATTTTTATCATACTTAGTCATTTTTGGATATCTTCGAAAAAAGAAGAAATAGGAATGTTCACAAAATAAAAAAATTCCGTTTAACCATCATCAAGTTATTAAACATCGTTTCATAAGTAGGGGAACCCGGAGCAGAACGGCATACCTTAGCTCTAAGAGGCCTTTTCTTCAAGGGATTTTGAAATTTCGAAACCAACTTAGGACATACCCTTCTTTATTGTTTAAATAACATCCAAGAAAAATTTGAGTCGAATTTATCAGAAAAAAAAATTGTTTTTGAAACTCAAAAAAAATTTGTCAAAATGACCATTCTGTCCCGACTATGGGGCAGAATGGCCCTATCTTGGGGCGGAATGGTCATTATGGTAAAATAATGAAGTAATCGTATTTTTGGGAACAAATGAAACACTCAAATATTAAATACACAATTTATTAGAAATCTTAAACTTATTGCCAGATTTTGCAGACAAGCACAATCTCATCGTCGTCGCTATCGATACCTGCGCAAGTATTATGAGCCCATTTTTTTGCAGATTGAGCATGATATTTAAACTTCTATAGATTTTAAGTAAAAGACTCCACAGTAGAGGCACTGGGCATCATCACTTTCACTTTCGCTGATACAAGAACTTTTTTCGACGTTTACAGGAGTCCTTGTGTTTTGTTTTTTTTTTAATTATTCTTTTGCATAATCTTCGAGTGAATAACTTTTTTTATTTACGACTGACATGTAAGTATTATATTTGTGATTTTGGCAGTTTAATGACATCTATTATTCCCGCAGGGATTAATGGTCATTAATCCCGCTTGCACACCAATCACAACATTTTTCAAATTAAATAAGTAGGTAGTACCATGGAAACAGTATAGAACAAATTCAGTGTCAGTGTCAAACGCGTAGTGCTTATGTATTTGTATTGAGATGGATGAACAAAGAGCGTTTTTGGAAAGAAAATTTCAAATAAATTAATTTGTCGTAAATAAAGTAGAGTATACTACTCGCAATAATGGCTATTATTCCCTCGGAATGTTACTCCCTCGCCGCTAACGCGGCTCAGTTCGTAAATATACCTCGGGAATTATAGCTATCATTATTGACTCGTGGTATAATCTACTATTATTTTTGGGTTTTTTATTTATTGCCAATTTATATTCTGGTATTGATTCATCTGAACTGCATTCTATTAAAGACCACATGCGTGAATCTCTTCTTATAATTGGAAAAATTCATATAACTGCTTGCTAATTTCATGCGGGGCAGAATGATACCCTAGACCATTCCGCCCGGATCCGTTCTGCCCCGAATTTGGTTTAAAAATATTTTCAAAAAAATAAAACAATATCATTGAGGAAAAATATCAACACTACCACCACTAATGCTTGACATCATGTACTACGTGAAAAATATAATAACAATGACTTATTATTGGTTTATCTACAAGCGTTTGGTTATGACGTTTTTACATAACCATTTTTCTAGTATTTGAGTTATGTCATGAGACTCATAACACAACTAGTGGTGTTATGAATTCATAACACAACAAGTGGTGTTATAGACTAGGTTATGAATCCATAACACAACTATTTTGACAATGTCAACGTTAAACCTGTAAAGGTAAAATGAAGGTAGACAACTACTAATAAACGAAAATAATTAAAAAATTATTCTTATTTTTCGCTTTGTAGATAAAACATTGTACATCACACGCGCGTTTATACATGACTACAAAACTCGTGTGATTAGAACGACTCGGTCTACGACCTCGTCGTTCTAATCTTTCACACTTGTTATTGTAATCATGTTAATAAACGCACTTGTAATGTAAATAACTATTACAATACTTACTTTGTCATTAAATTTCGCAAAAAATTATAAAATTTATTCACAAATATGGACATGTATGAATTCCGTTAGACTAAAGTTGTTTTCGCACTGGCATTTATCGAAACATAATAGAGTATAGTCTAGGGTATAGTTATAAGGCGATTTCGATTTACTATTTTGGTTACGGCTGGTGTTAGGAGGCCTATTCCGTTGTGCCCCGGTATGCCGTTCTGCCCCGGGTTCCCCTAAATCTACAAAATTTTACGAAAATCAGAAAATTCTTTCTATGAAAAAAATGGAGACGAAATATTAAAATTCGTTTAAACGTACGAAACGCTCTCTGTTGTCACAATGCGTAACAAGTTAGCGCGCGCAAGTACAGTGGCGCTACTAGCTACCTACTTGGATCAGCCGTTTGTGAGGTTGCTTTTGCAATTTTGGTTGGCAATAAAGAATATCTATCAATATTGATATTATTGTTATTATTATTATAGTTAGGTTGTAATTTAATGAGTGAGTCTGTTTAACGTTTAACAAGTATTTTGATATTGATGCTATCTCCTTCGTGTCGGTCTCTGTGTTATAGTCTAAGAGCCCGTGACACTCAGTCATCTGTTAGAAGGCCGTTTTTTGGTGGCCCGATATGCCAAGTCATCGGTCAACTAAAAAACGTAATGGTTGGCAGGTTTCGTTGTGCAGAAACTGAGAGGTGGATGTTTTTTCGGGCGTACATGAACTGCGGACCAAAAACCATAATTGATTTTCAAAATTTGTCCTGTGTGTTTAATGACCCATGAATTGCGGACCACAGTCGAAAGGGCTCCCTGAAATCTACCTGCCCAATAATTGGGAAAAACCTAAATAGCAAAATTTTAAGTACTTTCAAGGAGTATATATATACTGAATCACAACCATACGGTGGATATTAAAAAACATAATTGACAAGTGATTTCGAATAGTGTTTAACGTAAGGCAGCAGAAGATTTATCGGCAAAGCCTCAAAAATCTTACATTCGGCATTCAGACAAAATGCAAGAAATATTGTTGTGTTTTCTACAGGGAAAATACAACTTCAATTTCGCAAAAACGTATGTTTAAATAAACAATAGAGCGCCAACCGGCTGCCAACCCAGCGCAGAACGGACGAGGAAGTTGAAATGTATAATTTCCACTTTTTTTCGTCAAGTTGAAATGTATAGTTTCCACTTTTTTTCGTCCTTCTGACTTGTGAGGTAGGAACTTCCCTTGGGAATCTCACTTCAAACGCGGTGGGCATGATGAAGAGAGGGGGAAGGCCCGCCAACCATTCCTGTTTAGGCCTCAGTAGGTCCATATTATTTATTCACAACAAAAAGAAAGCTTCTAACTCATGAGGTAGAAATCCTTATTTTGGGGTAGGTAGTGAAAATTCATTCACTCCTCAGCTTCTGCATACCGAAACCCGCCAACCATTACGTTTTTTAGTTGACCGAGGACTTGGCATACCGGGCCACCAAAAAACGGCCTTCTAACAGATGACTGAGGCTTTTGTGTCACGGGCTCTCGTAGTATTAGGGTTTATCGAAATTGAAGTAGAAAAGGTACTATGGCTAAAATGGAGGAAGGTTTTCAAAAGGCCGATTCACATAATCTGCCTACTGTGGACGTTATCTATTGTGGTACCCATCAAGAGTTTTTGGTCAAGTTTCGACTTGAATCAGCTCCAGTCCAATGGTGTATAAATAAAATAGACGTATCAGACGTAGGTATAGTCGTAGGGTGGTCCTCCGGGAATGACATCGATTGCTTATGGGAAAACTGTGAAAGGTAAAAATTTGAAAATTTGGCAACATAGCAATGTCGATGGGGGACATCCAGGTAAAATATTTTCAAGATGGCGGCATTTCCGGTCAGACCGGAAGTTGATACCAACTCGGTTATTTTAAATAGAACACCCCGTATATTAATGTATTTTTGGATTCTAAGGAAAATTCTAAATACATTTCATGTACGATGTCTAACCGTTTTTGACATATTTAAGTTTTTATGTAAAAAATTACGTTTGCAGACCCTAAAATAATTGTCAATTTTTCCTATAAGGAAGCCTTTATTCTTTGATTGAGCCTTGATTCCTTGTTAAAAAGGACCTATTTTATTAGATTTTCATTATGTTTTGATAACTTTTAATACAGGGTGCTTAAAAAATAAGATTAAAAATAAAGTTGAGAAAACTTCAAATAATCAATTTTTTCAAATGGAAACCCCAAAATTTTATAATTTTATCTTGTTAAGCATTGAAAATAAAGGTAAGTTTGTGTAAGGTTATCTATTCCGAAAATGTTTAGTTTTCGAAATATTGCCAATTTAATATTTTTATATGGCGATTTTGCTCTAAAAATAATAACTGAGATCACCCTTGCGCATGACAGAATGTCAAGCAGAACGTGCATATCCTTGTCACAAAAATTGAAATAATTTTCGATAATAATCATGCCGGGAAGATTAAATTGGCTCAACTTTCGTTTAGCTGAAATCAGGTATATAAGAGATGTTGTTACAGTTGTTTTCAGAAAGTCTTCCTTTTATCAGAAACACATAAATTTTCCTGCGGAAATGCGTCATTTCCATTTTCCGGACTTTAGAATAGCTGAAATCAGTTACATTGAAAAAATTGTTTGCTTTGCATTTTGTAACATTTTTCTGAATAAAAAAACACAAAAATTTTCTTGCGGAAATAAGCTGTTTCTATTTTTCATAGAAATTCATCAGATTTTAGAATAGGTACATAGTTGAAATCAATTGCGTGAAAAATGGATGTTCCTTTGCATTTTAAAAAAAATTCTGAATATAAAAACGTGAAAATTTTATTGCGGAAATAAGTCATAATTATTCATTTGTTTGGTTGTAATTTGTAATAAGGTTATAATAGGGCAATCCAATCACTATGGCGGCTTAGATTGAAGAGTGAAATTGGCGCCACAAGGATTCTATTCACCTTCGACGAAC